GGGCAGAGGACATAAAGGACATGGATTTGGACCATGGCCTACTTCCTGTTGAAAGAGTACTGGGTGTACAATGGTGCGTGCAATCAGATGCATTCAGATTCAAAATCTCAATCCAAGATCGGCCTTTGACCCGTAGAGGACTTTTGTCTGTGGTCAGTTCAATATACGATCCAATTGGAGTACTTGTGCCAGTGGTTCTAAAAGCCAAACTAATCTTGCAGGATCTGTGTAAGAAAGGTCTTGGGTGGGATGAAGTTATACCCACACCAATTGCGAAGGAGTGGACCAACTGGATAGATGAGCTTCATCTACTTGAGGACCTCAAAGTCAGCAGATGTTTTAAGCCAGTGGATTTTGGTTCTGTGTCTTCTGCCCAACTGCATCATTTTGCAGATGCAAGTGAGGTGGGTTATGGAACAGCTACTTACCTCTTGCTGTGCAGCACTGATGGAAAACAATGCAGCAATCTCATCATGGGAAAGGCCAGAGTGGCTCCATTAAAGCCAATTACCATTCCTAGACTGGAGCTGACGGCAGCGGTGGTAGCAGCACGTATGGACAGATTCTGGAGAAAGGAGCTGCGGATGCCACTACTCGACTCTGTCTTTTGGACCGACAGCACTTCTGTGCTGAAGTACATCACAAATGAAACATCCAGATTCAGAACATTTGTGGCCAACAGGGTTGGAGAGATACTTAAAGCATTTGAGGCAACTCAATGGAGATATGTAAGCACTCTGTCCAATCCAGCAGATATTGCTTCAAGAGGACTTGGAGTAAAGGCTTTCCTCAAGAATGAACAATGGATGTGTGGCCCACAATCTCTGCTAGCAGAGGAGCAGTGGCCTACAATTCCATACAGCTTAAAGGAACAAGAACAAGATGATCCTGAAGTCAAAATTAGCGTGTTGACAAATGTTGTTGCAGCCCAAGACGAAGAAGACCCACTGTCTCAATTGATTGACCGTACATCTTAATGGAACCGGTTAAAGAGAGTGATTGCTTGGGTCTTAAGATTCAAAAGCAGACTTTTAAGTCTCTGGAAGAAAAGGAAGGAAGTCAAGGGGCTGTTGTCACACTCAAAAATGGATGAGAATGAACAGAAGACTGTTCTAAAAAAAGAGCGTGTCAAGGATTTGTTCACCGTTTTTCTCTCTGTGGAGGACCTGAAAGAGGCGGAGCTAGAGATCATTGGAATGTGCCAACGGGAAAGATTTCCTGATGAGTTTTCCAGTCTCTTAAAGAATCAGAATGTGAAACAGACAAGCCACATATACAAATTAAATCCATTTCTTGATAACGGTATTTTGAGAGTTGGCGGAAGGCTCAGTAAGTCAGCAATGCCTGAAGAGTCAAAGCATCCAGTGATTTTGGCCAATGATCTTCATGTTTCTGACCTCATCCTTAGACAAGTGCACAAAGAAGTCGGCCATGGGGACAGGACCCACATGTTGGCAAGGCTACGCCAGAATTACTGGAGCCAGTGGAGCCATAAGAAGAATCTTGGCCAAATGTGTTATATGCCGACGGGTTTTGGCAGTCCCAGCAAGCCAACAGATGGCAGACTTGCCACTCAGCAGGATTTCTCCAGATGAACCACCATTCACCTCAGTGGGAGTGGATTGTTTTGGTCCATTTGAAGTGAGACGTGGAAGATCCAAAGTCAAAAGATATGGAGTTATATTCACCTGCTTAGCTCTGAGAGCTGTGCATATTGAGGTAGCTGCATCACTGGAGACAGATTCCTTTATGAATGTACTACGTCGCTTTATAGCTAGAAGAGGCCAAGTCAAAGAGCTTTGCTCAGACAATGGAATCAACTTTGTTGGCACCGATCGAGAATTGAGAAGATCTCTGGAGCATTGGAATCAAGCTCAGATTCATGATGAACTATCACAGAAAGGAATAAAGTGGAAGTTTAATCCTCCTAGTGGTTCCCATCATGGGGGAGTCTGGGAGAGGTTAATCCGTTCAATCCGAAAGGTCCTCAACTCTACTTTAAGAGTTCAAACTCTGGATGATGACAGCCTCCACACTGTGCTTTGTGAAGTTGAAGCTATTCTCAATAGCAGACCAATAACAAAAGCATCCACAGATCCAAATGATTTGGAGGCTCTGACTCCTAATCATCTACTCCTCCTCAAAGGTCAACCATCTTTCCCACCTGGTGTTTTCCGGAAGGAAGATTCGTATGCTGTACGTAGATGGAAACAAGTACAGTACATCTCTGATTTGTTTTGGAAAAGATGGACAAGAGAATACTTACCACTGCTTCAGGAGCGTCAGAAATGGAACAAAATCAAGCGCAACTTTGCTCCTGGAGACATCGTGCTCATCGTAGATGACTCTGCACCCCGAAATTCTTGGATTATGGGGAGAGTTGTTGAAGCCTATAAAGACAGAAAAGGACTCGTTCGACAAGTCAAGATCAGGACCAAGACAAGCTGTTTGGACAGACCTGTCACAAAGATTTGCCTGCTTCAGGAAGCCGAGGATACTTGATGGATTATTTGTTATGATTTGCTGTTCTTCTGTTGTTGATACTACTTCACTTTGAACATAGAACCTGTGGCACAGACCATTTTCTACCAGATTCTCTGTTCAAACTGCTGATCTGAAAACACAGCTTCTATACATGTTTTTTTTGTGTGAGATTATACTATGTTTCTCTTATTATTTAGTAATTATTATATCATAATAATTAGGGGCCGGAATGTAGAGGCAAGGATTCATTTTGGTAATGTCTCTAAGGATAGGCTGCATGTGTTAAAGGTATGTATGGGCATATGTGGGTGGAGCTATAAGTGGGTGTTGGCATGTGTTTGAGTGATTGTCTAATTAATATCACCTGGATCTGCTCTGAGGCTGTTTTTGTTTGTTTGATTCAGAGAGAGGCTAAGACAGGGTGCCAATATTTCTGTTGACCGCAAGTTGTAAGCAAATAAGTCTGCAAATCGACCTGTTGTACAATGCCTCACAGAAAAAGAGTACAATAAACATCCCTAACTGCAGAAAAGCTTTATGTTTCCTCCTTGGATTCAGCGCGTCGAACAGATCCCTGCTCTCCTCTCAGTGACTATTTTTTGGATGATAGTCGCCTACAGGGAGTTTTAAATCCATAATATGTGACAAATGGCTTTTTATTTTTTTTAAGCATCTCTAAATATGTTTTTATCTCAAAAGATAAAAACATTTTCATGTCTGGTAGTTGATGTTTTTTTGATTAATGAGAGAATTGATTCTTTTTTGCAAAAGCATTCACTTTTCTCGTGCTCCAACACTATATAACCACAACCTGCAACATATAACCATAACCCTTAAGTTTGAAATCGGCAAAACACTGTTCAACATCCCTTAATAGAAATAGTATGGTACAGCTGTAAATATAATATATATAGAACCACTACACAAGAACACATTGAATGTGAGAATATGCAAAGAAGCCTATCTACATTAAGGTCCAAAATTCTGAGATTAAAGTCAGAATTCTGAAATAAAAGTCAGAATTCTGAGATCAAAGTCAGAATTCTGCGATTAGAGTCAGAATTTTGACTTTTTTTCCCATATTAAACTGAAATAATACTTAAAAATCAGTTGAGTTTTTTTTTTCTATTTCTTCTCTTCTTTACCCTTCTGCATACAAATCAGCGTGTAGTGGGACATCTTTCCATAATTTGAAGATCTCTACAGAGTTCGCGCTCTGTGATTGGTCAATTCGCGGCCCTGGTCCTGGAGTGATGTCAGTGCTGGAGCTGGTTGTCAGACAGTGGAGGTAGAGCGCAGGCTGGAGGAGAGTCAGACGCTGGAGGACTGAGGATGGAGAAGGATCTATTGCCTCTGTCTGCATGGAAACCAGAAGGAAACGCAGAGAAAATCCAATCGGGAAATTCGGCTCGACTTCAGCTTAAAGACATTTATGCTTCTTTTTTTTCTCTCCCTGCCGCTGAGGTAAGAAACGCTTCTGGATTCTTGCAAAAACTGCTTAGGTTTCCTTACATTTTACATTTAATTCATTGGTCCAACATACACATTTTTCTAAAGGTCTCTGTGGTTGTATCGTATAGATAATATTTTTTTTTTCAAAAGCACACAGCTTTAAAGGATGGAAAAAGTCTTCTGTTTTTTATATATAAAATAATAAGGCAGCATAGAGCTGAATGATCTTTAAACAACCCAAAAACCATCGAGGAATAAATATAAATGCATTCAATGTTAAAGGCGTTAAGGTCCTCAGGCCTTTAACATTTTTTTTTTTATAACAGCTTGTGAGGATTAGTTCCTATGATGTAAAATAATCTAGTTTCAGTAGAACTAGGCCAATCACAACTCTCATTAAAAGTAGGGAATCTTTGCCCTCAGGAGCACTAAAGAGCCAGAAGATAATTAGAGCATCTTAAAGCTCAGTTCAGTTTAGATTGGAGAGATCTTTGTTATTGTTAGAAAAATCAACTCTCTTATTTCATTATTATTTTATTCTTCTTCATCAGTGAGGCGAAATGCACTCTTAAAGCATCATGGACCAAAATGGCATCCTTGAACAAAATTATCAAAATGAATTAAATTAAGACTTTACTTTAAAAGGACTGAATCGGTACTAAGTTATTGCAAACGTAGGAAATAAGAATAAAATAAGTGATAATGAGAAGATGCATGTTCTAGTACACCTGAGATGTTTACCTGTTATTATCCTTTTGTTTTTATTTTTAGTGATTACAAATGAACATAAAGTGTTGTCACAGCCTATATTTCTAAGACGTCTAAATAGGAAATATGTTTAATTGATATGAGGAATGTCATCAGGCCTTCACTGAAGATATCGCGAGAAAACAAACAGTAATATAATCGTTTCAAAAACTTCCTAAACAAAAATAATAATAGTTGTTTATAATTTTTTTTTTTCTATTATTAAGATTGTTGATATTTTTCTTTCTTTATTATTGATGCTCAATTAGCTGGATGTGTGTTCTTAATCTTTCAGAATAAAATGCAGCTTCATCCTGATCCTGATGACAGGCAGTCATGTCTATAGTGAGGAGGGGGGGTCCGTCTCTGTCTTTGGTTATCTAGCTGTATGAGTTTTAAATACCTGTCATAAAGCTAGATAACCGAAAGTAGAAATGGCTTCCATTAGCTGCATGTTCAGGATTCTCACATGAAAAAGGTAAGAAACAGCTGTGGCTATCCTGTGTCTGACTGGTCATTGATGTTAGATTAAAAAAATTATATTTTAAAAAATGATTCGTGGCATGAGTTTCACAGAAACGATATATTTGATGAGAAATTATTTAAAAGTTAAACTAATTCAACCATCAGAAAAATTGTGCACATATTTTCTATATGTGCACGTGAGATAAAGAAGTGAGACTTTGGACTTTTAACAATTTTTTGTTTTATTAGATATGATTTTGAGGTACTTTATAATTAAAAACATTGTCTTTTTTGATTTTTGATTTTGATTTTTTAATTGCTTTAGGCCTACCAACTGTCAGCTTGACCTCATTTTAGTTTAGTCTGTTATCTGTTCAAATCAAATATACTCGAACAAAACAAAGAAATGTTTTTTCCTTAATAGTCCTGAAGTACATAATTCCATTTTGAATTCAAGCTGATTGATATTAAGTGTACAAATTAAGATTTTACAGGCTGGTGGAAGTTTTTGTATTTCTTTGAGGACCAATCAACTGATTTATATATATATTTTAAATATATTTATGCATTTATTCTTTCAAATTTTCTCTTGTTTTATTTTCATTGTTTTTCTTGTTGTTTATCTTTCCACAATGTGATTACATGTAAAGACCAGTGGATTTATAAATTAGGGTTGTCTGTTGAATTGGCGTGAAAATATAGTAGATTTACAGATTCATTTTAGTTCCCATGTAAAATAGATCAATTTAATGCATCATTTTACCCCCCTGTCATGTGATAAGGCATTTTTATGGCCAATTGTTCCTTTTTTTATTCGGCCCTTATTTTTCTAATTTAAAGAAAGAAACCTAATTCTAGGGCGTCTCAGATTTTCCAACTACTTTACACCCCCCTCAAACATACAAAAACTTTTTTTTATATAAAAAAAACACAATTAAGCTTAACTTACACAGAATATTAAAGTGGTAGTTATGATCTGATTGTCATACCAAAGTCTCTTTTTATGCATCAGTGGTCCAAAACAATCTGTGTTTTTATTTTGAGGCATTTAAAAATATGTTTTGTTTTTCTGAGCATGTGACCTGCCAATCACTGGTCCAATCAAGTGTAAAACTAGACTGGTCGGTGTCTATACCTCCATATCTATAGGGTAAAGGTGAAGGAATTGCTTTCTGCATGTATAGCCAGCCTGCATTCAGCAGCTTTACTGACACACACACACATTGATATATATATATATATATATATATATATATATATATATATATATATATATATATATACACCAATCAAAGATAAGTGGTGCTTTATTTCAATTGACACACCACACCCGACAATGTATTCCACAAATACATTCTTAAACCTGCTACGTTGGTTTTGCTTGGAGGCCAGAGGAAGATTTAGGACTACTCTTTAAGCCAGCTGACCAGCAGCTCAGAGCAACAGATAGGGGAGGGGCGGCGATGCTGCAATAAAAACAAGAACAGGACTTTGAACTGAAGAAGCGATATTGTAATAAATTTCAGTCATTTTCTACAGTTATCCTTTAATACCAACCAAACAGTGTCGACTCATAACACACTTCCCGCCAACCTTGCTTTAGCTTATATTGATTTTTTTTTTTTTTTTTTTTACTCTTTACTTTGCAAAGAAAACACTGCCTCAAATCCAACTTTGTTTGGTTAAAAGAAAAGAAAAGCCAATGCTTTGTCCAGAGCTTGTAGGACCTCCTATAAAGCCCCTGAGTGGTGAAGCACAGGGTTAAAAAAAACACTTGGCGTCTGTATTTAAAATCTCAAGTCCTTTGGGATACATTGTGCGTTGGCTCAATGAGAAGCCTGGGGCCGTCGTACAGACAGGAGCTGAACTTCTCAACTTGGTACTTCAGCTCTTTGCGTGTTGCATGCACTCGGTTTAGAGAATGCCACTAAAGCCTAAAGAGCACCAAAGTGAGATGAGTTTTCATTCATTCTGGTAACTAGCTGTTGCAGCGGAGCTCGCTGTCAACCCGGACTAATTGCTTCGTTTCACAGTCAGATATTGGATATGTGAAAAGGCTGTGGCTTGAGTCCTTTCTGGAGCTTTCCTCTCTTATAGATAGTGTGTGAACCTGGTCTACCTCTTTCAGCAAGGGAATAAAAAAAACACTTGAGGCGGATGTATGGAATCAAGGCATCCTTGATTTTTACCTTTGTACCTGTATAATGAGTTTTTTTTTTGTTTCTTTTTTTCAGTGTCTTTCATTGCTGCAGAATATACACTCACATCCTGAAAATTAACAGAGTTGTGTATCTTCCCAGAGATTTAAAAACTGTCCTATACTATTCAAAGTTGGTTTTAAGGGGAAATTGTTAAAACCTTCATTAAAATTCTGTTACATGGATTTCCCTAAACGAATACATCTTTCCTCCCTTTTCTTTTGAAAACATGCAGGATTCTTTAACAGAGCCATCAGCAAACAAAAAAAGAGAAGGAAATGGTCGGCCCAAGATTTGCCTCCTTCTCCGACAACCTCGGCTGTCTTTTACCCAGAACCCCCCGATGCCATCTGTACAGCCGGCGGGGACGCTCTGCTGTGCCAGGAGACAGACAAAGAACCACCCCAAGATCCCAGGAGCATGCAAAGAGAAGCCATCTTGGGAGATGTTTCATTGAGACATCTAAAATGGCTGGACTGGCACATAAGGTGAGCTGCATCATGGTTAGCTGTCGGGTACAAAGGATGGTCAGAGGGTTTCGGGGTGGGGGTTGACTTATAGAAGAGGAAGAGAAGAAGAGTTTCCTCCCCATTTCCTCCACAGTCACACATGGCCTCTTTCTTGTCTGCTGTGCTCTGCTTCTGCTAATTAGCAGTTATGTGGGGGGGTTTGTGGGTGAGGATGGTTGGTGTTGGTGGTGGGGGTAGTGGGTAGCAACAAAATTAATGAGCTGGCACAGGTTGAAGGAAACCTGCCATCCTCTCTTGTCATGGTGCTTCTTTATTCCCCGCAGCACACCAAGTAGTTCAGCACGCCGTGTTTCCACCTGATAAACATCGCAGTAATGCATGCCAAAACTGGGCTTTTTATCATATAAAAAAGCAAAAAAATAATTTATGATGAAAAAAATATTTATATAAAGCAGTTTCTTGAGTTTAACATCAATAAGAAATGTTTAATTGCTGCATTTGCAGCTGCATGTTAGCATACACACTTGTAATGCACTGGTTGCATCTGCACACATATAATCCAAATATTTCCCAGTGGATCTTCTGACAAAATATCTTAGCCTTTATAAATTGAAGTGAGCTCTTTTTACCAAAAAGTGTAATTGTACATAAGCATGGCTACAGTAAGTAAATAAATGACAAACCAGTCCAATGCTAAATGTTTTTCAAAACCAGGACAAATTTTAAGGCTTTAGATTTTGACCAGCCTGACGGCTTTAACTTCGTGCCCACATTTACTTGCCAAGCTCTCGCTATCAAGCCGTCTAGCTGGCCTGTAGAGACTGGCATCAACAGGAGGTGAAAAAGTGAAACACATGAGCGTGTTTGTCAGGAGCCAACATGTGCAGCTGCAAAGCTTGTGTGTTAATGAACAGCGGCATGCATTTTCACATTATCATTCAGCTCCGTACTCTCCTACCTCAATAGCTGCTCGCTTGACGCCCCCCCCCACTCCCCATCCCCTTCGAAAAAGCCTGCTTTCTCACCATTGTGGGAACTGGTGGTGCGGCGGGCCTGGGATGGGGGGCAGGGTGGGAAAGACCCTCCAGACTAGACATGAGCAGATGCCTGAGACATTAGACCGTTGTGCGGATCACCAGGTCGGACGAGGCGCTGAGTTTTAATGTGTGGGCAAGTGTATGTGTGTTTGATATGTGTGTGATGGTGATGGGAAAGGGGGTTGGGGAGGGGAATGGTCCAGACCCTGGAGTGCCACCTGACTGTTCATTAGTCTATTCAGACTACTCTGCATGTCTAAAAAACATGGAGATGGCACATCTTCTGCTAAATGAGAGGAATTTCCTAGGAATTAATCATGCATTCAGACATAATACACACACACACACACACATAGTGAAATGCATTTCATCCAAAGAGTTCTATGCAACAACAATTATACAATTTCCAATTATAATCTATGATACGTTTTTGCTTGCTAAATGTTTCTTAATGTATTTAAAACATAACCTGAATGCTTGTGTCAGGTTATAAAAAGAAAGTTATCAGACACCAATCAAACAAACAGTGTATAAACATAGATTTTATCAGTATATAAGTGTAGAAATCTCTAAGGTTTGCCAGCTAAAAAGTAACAACATATCAATTGACCACACTGAACATAAATTGCTTCAATTTTTCAAATAATTTTATTTAGAATTATTTTAAATCATTCAACCACTTAAACACATCATTTTGATTGAAACTGTTATCTCCTTTGACACAAGCTTCATCTTTTAAATGTAAGATTTTAAAATTTAAGAATAAAAGACCTGCACATCATTTATAACATAATAGCATGAGATTTTTTTGAATTATCGTTTCAATCTAGATTTAAAACCTACATCAGACTAGTTGATGTCAAATAATTTTGTGTTTAATTGGGATCGCGGTTCATAGCTCTTGTGCACACCAAGCCTTCTACACAGACATTTTTAGGTCTTCCTTTGTAGTAGAATCGTCATGCAAAAACACCTTCTTTCGTCTATGTAGTCATCCTTATCTAAAAGAAACAACAAAACAGAAAAATGAGAACTGCACAGTGATTAAGCCATGAAAATTTATGTTAGGCAACATTTTCCAATATGTTTGCAAACACAGCTTATGAGCTACAGGTGAGGTCATTTTGCGAGCATGTTTGACTTTAGCATTAGCAATCCCATTAAACTAGTAAAATCCGATAGAAGTGACATTCTAGCTCAAAAACAGAGAGTTTCTCAACCACAGGTCTTATGGGAGTTAAGTTACAGTACAGGTCAGCTGATTAATACTTATGACTCGATGGTTTCGGGGCCCATTCATAGAAGTAACCCAAGTAACCTTTTCTTTAATATTACTAAAACAGATTATTCATTTAGGATAAGTAACATTGACATTTTTACATTTATAAATAGAAATTCTACCATTTTTTTATTTAATGAATATGTGGCAGTTTTGGCCCTCAATACTTTAATCCCTTTAATTTAGTCGCATTTAATCCCATTTATGACTTCTGCTTATGTGAAATCTTTACATTTGAGCACAAAGAGTTGTTGTCCAAATCTTAAGCAGGCTGTACAGCAGGATTGTCTATTTGTTCCACTGCAGCACCTGCCGGATCCTATTGGTGCAACCATGGACGCTCCTGGTAGTCGCATCAAATTCAAAACATTGCAATCGAATATCAAGACAGGTTCATCCCGCCTTAATTATGACTTCATCTAGCAAACATAGACAGCAAGTCCATAGCCAGAAACTGCGTTGTGTGCGCCATCAGAGTTCCTACACACTAACTTCCATATTCAGATAAAATTAACTTTTGTTAATTTGATATATTTACTTAAAAGACAACATTGCACATCCTTAATATCAATAAAATTACAATAACAGTTGGCCGGACCAACATTTTCAGTTTGACTTCTTTCAATTCTTTTATTAAATTTTTTTAGAAATAAACTAATTTGATTAAAGATCTTAATATGTTTGGCCTTAAATTGTATTCAGAGAATGTCTAAATTTCTCTTTAATACAGTGGTTTGCCCTTCATGTCAGAAAGACCCAAGATTAAGGCATAATATGTCACTGAAATAATAACCTTTTAAATGTACTCCAGCAAAGACATTTATGTTCTGTAAACCATACATTCACCGTTTAGATTTATTTAAGCCATTTCCCTGACAACTATGGCTTGCAAGCTAAACTATAGTGTTAGTGCTGTGGCTAAGCTAATCAAAGCTTGATACAAACTTTATTTCTTGCTTCAACTGACAAACTCGCAACCTCAATTTTATTAACTTTAACAAAGCTGCAAAGGTTCATAGGTTATTGGAAAAAGCACATTCCTGTTACTTCAATAGATTTTACTCAAGTTAAAAAACAGTCATCCAGAAAATGACATAATAATTTGTGAAAATGATAATCATACCGAAAAAAAAATATTTATGTGCATAATCCTTTTCTGTTCAGTAAATTACCTCGAGGTAGGTAGAGTAACCTGAAATACTTCTCATTTAAGAATAGCATTACTTCAAAAATAATGCATCCAGCAGAACTTAAAAAAATAAATAAATAATCTTATTAGCGCTTTTTTTCTTTAAAAAGTAAAATCTAAGGTGGTAAAATAATAGTCAAAACTCACTTCAGATTTCATATAACAGAATGAACAGAACACCTGAGATTTGGTTAAAAAAAAGTCACTTAATTTTAATTCCATGATTAGGTGGGATTTCTACACAGACAGAATTAATAGATGACATAAATCAAAATGTAACATTTTTAAACCTTTTAAACTCTTTACTAACTTAACTATACATTTCTTTAAAATTTGAATAAATGAATTTCCTATTTTCACACCAAATTCCAAAAGACACTTGGTGGCACACTGTTTCACTATGACTGACTCAGCTGAGGTGCTGGTTGTGCCTGAAGGAGCTAAGTGATGTAACCTGCGGATAGTAGTTATTAATGGTACCCCACACTGTATATGCACTTCCACACGGTTTGTAAAGCATGAGCAGCCCACATGTCATCATATTATTTCCTGTCTTTATTCACAGAAAAGGACTCTAAGCTGTCTCTATAATTGCATTTGAGTAGCTCATCTGTTAGGTACAGCATTATTGCTCGAGGCCATTTCGAGTGAAAAAAAGGGAAAGGTAGCTGAGAGCATAGCGTTCTGAAAATGTCTGAAAATCCAGAGGAGCAGAAACAGTTCGGGTTTGAATGATAAGACTGTATATTAATCCCCCTTAGGAAAGGTTGAAAGATGGCAGAAAAAAAGAGATGGTAGAACATGTGGGCAGCCATGTTGGTGTGCCGTGCTGCAACATTTAGCAGCTGAAAGGAGCAGAAGCATTTAGCGATTATTTGAATGGTTGCAGCACAGATTGGGTATCTCTTAAGGAGCCGTATGCATCTATAGTCCCCCTTTTCTGTTATCTAATAAATGCATGGAAAAGTCAGAGTTGAAATGACTAAAATTATAGCATAAATTCATATTGATTCTGATGTTCTGTTTTTTCACACTGGCTAACACTGCTCTGCAGATCGGTTCTTAATCTGCTCCTCAACAAAGAGCTCTTAAATCAAGACGGTCTGAAACCACAGCGGCTGGGGGGAGCGAGGTCAGCAAGTCTGACATAGAGTCAAAAAGGATTTAGAACGCTAACACCACAGAATCCATCGCTGTGTGTGCATACCTTTAAATTTGACTTAAAAATGCATATCCCCCTAAAGAAAGGGACACAATGGGACATAAGATTACCTCTCCTTTCCTCTTTTCTACCTGTGTTATCCATTATTAACTATGTATTACCTCTTCTACATTGGATTTTCACAGCAGTGGAAATTATAATGTATGACACGATGAAGTGACAGCAGCCGCTGCACACTACCCATTCTGTGTGGGTGCAGCTGTGTAGCCATAGTAGCGATAAAATGTTAATACCACGTTGCTCCTGGGCTACCTTTTCTATACGTGTGGACAGTATTAATGTTTGAGCCCCATTCACTGAATATATATATATATATATATATATATATATTGCACTTTATAGCAACACATGTATAGACATAATGTGTAGTTCATAGGCTGGCCTTAGTTTTAGATGAGACCCTGATGTGGGTCAAGCGAGGCTCACTGGTTGTCTTTAATGCAACTTTGGCTGAGAATAATCTAGGACGAAGCTGAGTATTAAGTATATCAGGAGAGGATGGCTTTCAGGGGGGGGTCCTCTTTGCTTTGGAAGGAGAGAAGAATTAAGTGACTGAGCCTTTAATGCAGCATCCCTTCGTAATCATAGCATGCAGAAGGAGGTCGTGTGGTAAAAGATGGCCAAGAAATCCTTTATGTGACCTTTTTTTTCCCGTCTCGTTATTTGGTTTTCACTGCACACAAGTTTGCAGAAACTATACCGAGAATTGGGTCAAGTTCAAGTTCATGGTTGCATCTCTCTGTCTGCTGAGAGTTGGGATTGTCTGTGACCACCCTGAAAGTAAGGAAGACAAGAATGAGGAAAAGGAGGGGGTGGTGTGTAGAAGAGTACATAGCCTTTGACCTCTTTTAGGGTTGCTATGGGATAGAGGCCGCTCAGTTCAGCAATGAAAGATTGAAAAGGCCAAATTGTCAGAGCTGTCCAGCAGACGTCAACCCCCCCCAACCAACCACCCGCCACCTCCTCTGCAAAACACACAAACTAAAACCCATTCACACCTACTCACAGATGGCACGGGCCAGCTTGGGAATGTTAGCTGCATGAGAGGAAGAGAGAAAATGCTTTATGCTCATCAGACGCTGCCATAATTCATCCAGTTGCAAACGCTGTAGCCCTTCCTTCATGCATTCAGTTTTCTGGGTGCAAGTTACTTTGGTAAAACATTAATTGAACTTGTTTAAATAAAAAATCTCAACAATCTTCACAAATAAAAATTATTTTCAAGGTGTTTTTCTGTCTTGATATAAAGTGTGCACAATAAAGGGGTAATTAACATAATCAAGCTCCATGTTGTTGATAAAAAGACACATTTTAGCCTACAGTTTTGCCTCAAATCAAGTTAAAACAATGATGTTAAAGCTGGGAAGCATTTTTTTTTTCTGTGTCTGCACACAGTAGCCGCTCGGCAATCGTTGTTTGACTCATTGCGTGTCAGAGTGGGCATGAAAATCCACGGATCGTAATGCGTGTACGTTCCACAGCCCCTCCGCAAACGTCTGCGAGTGTGGCCTCATTTAAGGTGGTGTTCTTTCAAGGAAGGGGTACAGCAAATAAAAGAAGGCGTATTTGCATACGCTGCATGCTGTCTGCAGAGAAGGAGCACCCCTCGGCCACCACCACCCTTAAGAAGAAAAAAAAAAAGATATCAGAGGTGGACAAAGAGATCGAGGACAAATCCTTCATTGTGGGCATGGTGGGAGAAAGGACTCATCTGAATTGGGGAGTGGGTGAAAATTGGCAGAGAAAGAGTTTGTGCTGATTCCCTGCGGGGATAAAAGCATTAAGCGCTACTGCCTGAAAATGGAGGAGAAGAACAACATGCAGAGCTAAGGAGGCTTTCATTTTACAGTGCATGAAAAGGATGTTTTTTTTTTTCCCTTGAAACACTTCCTCCATTGTTTGATGTGGAAAATAAAAAACATGAGCACAATATTAAATTTGCTGTTGCCAAAACAGACTTGTGACAGTTTTGTAAAACCAAAGAGCTTCAGTTTGACCATCATTGACTCTGCATTTTGTTCCCCATAAAAGCAGTGTTTCTATAACTTTTATGGTTATGCATTATTCCTGTTGCCTTTTATAAATAACTTCTTGAACGAGTGCTCTAAAAATTTTATTTTAGCGCTATCTCTTCGCATTTGTATCTGCTTTTTTTCAGTCTGCTACGAATAGGAGGCATAATTTCTATCATGCATAGCGAAAGAGATTAGGGAATTAAGTTTGAATCCCAATCTAAATATTCCTTTAATCTTTCTTCTGCAGAATGGGACCAGAACTCTGAGGATCTTTGCACTTTGTGGATAAAACTCAACATCAACAAAAAAATGGACTTTGTGAATATCATCTGAATCTGAATGTATGATTGATTGTACTGCTATGAATTGCATTGAATTAAGTTGAATTTGCAATCAAGATAATTCGATGATAGTTGGACCAGTTTATCTTGTAAACGGCCTTCAGGTGACATTTGTTGTAATTCAAATCCATGTAAATACTGCATGTTTTTTTTCTTTTTAGTCATATAAACTTTTAGATAGTTTTACAGTATTGATCCAATAAACTTGTACAATTTTACAAGAAAGGCAGTTTGGAAATGATTAGATATTCTTACCCAAGTAAAATGTGTATTCCTCTTATATGCTAAGAATAACATTTTATCATGCATAAATTGTCTTTCCATTCCACTCCAGTTTTTTTTTGTTTTTTATAAAATATACATTTTCTATGTGAATGATCAAATGTTCTGCTGGCAAATATTAAAAGAATAATCTGACCCATATTTGTGTTTCAGACATTTCTAATACAATCTTTGTGGGCTATATATTATTAGATTAAAGAATATATGATATTGTATTCTGTTGTTTTAATTTATTTCCATTAATTGGTTTATATTTTATAAATGCAAATTATTCATTTTTAATTTAACAAATAAAACATGTTTCACTGTTTGCACGCGTTTTATGAGTTTAGAGTAAAAAAGCTTTTAGAAGTTAGTTAAACTAAGACATTTTATAAATGTCTATCCCATGAATTACTTAAGAATATTTAGGCCTATTTCTATTACAATATTGTTATTTGAATTGGTTTCCTCGTAAAGTCCAACTTAATTGTTGAAGTCTCTGTTCCCCTATGAGATAGGTGGATACCGCCATTGTTTCCTGTCACTTTAAAAAAGAAGTAGAAGTAAAACTTGGCTTTTGATGAAGGCATCAAACCTTATTGAATCGACAATGTTTTATCAACTGCCTCAGTGTGAAGCTCAGCCTTTAGGTTTCACTGTATCATTACTGTTCCTGCAGGTCTTACAGTTACTGACTGTAGTTCTTATTCTTTCCTATTGTATCATTTTAAACGGATCAGCCAAGCACAAATACATTTATTTCTAATAATAATAATAATACATTTTGTCTGTGATGCACTTTACATTATAAAGGAATAGAATAGAATAGAAAATACATTTATTGTCCAACAATGGGGAAATTCTGGTCTTTACAGCAACAAAAGGATAATAGAAAAAATGGTCACACAAATATGGACCTTAGAAAAGTATATAAGATTAACATAATAGTGAAGAGTTAAAAGATAAAACATAAAATACTGTACTGTTAAGTGTTTAACAAAATTGTACACCTGGAGAGTTAATAACCAATATTTTCTATTAATGGATATTCAAAAATAGCAGCAAGATGTGCAAAATGACAGCAGCATGTTAGAAATATATATATATATATATATATATATATATATATATATATATATATATATATATATATATATATATATATATATATATATATATATATATATATATATATATATATAGATAGATAGATAGATATCCAACACATAAAGAAACAAAAACTAATAGCAAATATTAAATTAAAGTAGGCTGCATATTGCACACCAGTACAGTGGATTAAATGTTCTAGAGTTTAAACCAAATATAAACCAAATATTTATTTCAATATGTTGGTTTCGAAATTTTCTTAAATTTTTTTTTTTTTTTTTTTTTTTTTTTTTGGTACATCAACGGATTCACATGGAGAGCGCGCGTGACCCTTTCATTAGGTTTTAATTGGTGGGGGGGCAGATAGGGGCGCGCGCTGAACCGCTGAAGCAAAGAAAGAAAAAATCCAACAGCAGGGGGGAAATATGACGTCCCCTGGTGTTAATAACAGCCCGCCATGCTGTTCAATGTGACTAAATGCGTTACTGCAAGATTATTCTACAAATCTTATTTTATTTTTGTTTTCTGCTGGCAGCTTGTTGGATGAAATGTGATGTTTACTTTGATTGGTGAACTGTGTCAATGCGCTGCGTGAGCCCGGAGTTTTTTCAGATTACATTTGGGATTACGGCCTGTCCTGAGGTCAATGTCCAACTGGTCGGAGTCAAACAACAGATGGACTCGCGTGTAAGGTCACGGGGGGATTATGTCCCCTCTTCGTGGGTGAAAACAAGTAAAACCCTCAAAAGTGACAGGAGAAAGAACAGCATATCTGTCAGAAATGTTTGGCTTTTTTTTTTTTTTTTTTTTTTTAATTCAGACATTCATAATAATATTATTTTAATTATTATTATAATAATTTTTCATTATAATTATTCGTGTTACCTTTAAACCACTGCAATGCACTTTTTTCTTTATACAGTAGATAAATTTGCTTTGCTCATTCATTGTCTTCAAATTTGCGAAAATAATAGAAGAAAGATGTTCCAAGTTGCTCCCAGTGTTATGAAAAAAATAAGAGTAGCCTACATCATCTTGCAAATTGTAATAGATAATAAACAGGATGGACTTTTGGGTCATTTAGACTAAAAATATTTTTCTTTTCTCTTTTTATAGAAATTATTCTTCATATTTTCTGTTCTTTTCATGCAATAACATTTTGATCGCAGTGCTTGGATTTATTAAAAGCAGAAAAGTATTTCTGCCACTATAATAAAATAATAAAATAAATGATGTAGTTTTATCGGTGTATCATAGTAAACACTATTTAGTTTTTGATACACTTAAGACTTTAGAGAATTAAAAATCAACATCTGCAAAATTTTTTACAGATTTCCAGATGCCCATCTTTATTATTTTATTTATCAACTGGTTAGTGAGATTTCAGCATTATGTTTGTGCATTTTGAGAAATATAAAATAGATGACTATATCTTCTTGTATTCAGAATAGTCCCTTTCCCAGTCAGCTTACAAGCAGTGCTCAGGGTAGGGGCAATTATGTGCTCCATACAGCAGAAGAAAACTCTGGTTACTCCATAGGCTTCTATTGTATCTCTTGTAACCAAGCCGGTCTTATTATAAAGTAACCTAAGTGCATAAAACATCAGTTGAATAAAAAAGCTAAAGAACCCTGCTTCAACTGGAGGATAAAAAGCTGCATGAAGTTGCATTGTGTATGTTTTTTGCCTAGCTTGTTCTTGTCCTGCATGTTGTTTCCACTTCTCCTAAATCTAAAATCACACTTTTCACCAATGCAGTTTTCAGTCTCATATAGGCACAAGAGTCAGCATGTTTTAAATCAATCTAAACAGCACAACAGCTGCTGATATGTGTTATTAGTTCCCCCTCTCTGGATGAAAGGAAAGCAATTAGTGAAATCAGCCTCTGTAGAGCATGGACCAATGGTTTTTTAAAAACCACGTCACACTGGTGTGAATTTCATCATTAAAGAAAAACTGTTTTTGTTGGTTTTACTCCATATCTGCAGCAAAAGTGTTATACATCAGCTCCCAGTCCCACAAACAGAGAAATCCAACTAAAGCTGTTACAGCCTCTTCATCTTTTGCCTGAGGTAATTGCTTCAGTCTGCTAGATGAAGTAAACATTACTCTTTGATGAGTAACTGCTGCTGCATAGGGACCTGTTGGTGAAGTCCTGGTCGGCTGGGTGTCAGGAGGGTCACCATGCGGACAGTCCCCCAGAGGACAATAAACTGGCTGAAGGGATGCAGAGGTCAGGAGCTCTGTGGGGAAGGAGCAAAAGGTCAAGGGTGGCTAATTAATTGGCCATTTACACCTATTCCCAATTGATAATTGGACTCAAGGTGGGACACATAAATGAACAGAGAAACCATTATAAAGAACTTAATATAAGCATATTTTATACATATTTCAGAAACCTGCTGAACAAAAAATAAAAGGGACTATAATGAGGAAAATACAGAGCATGCTCCAAATTAAAATTTGCCTCAAAAGATGGAATGATATAATCTTGGCTAAAACAGTTTGGAGGGAAAGGGAGCATCTTAAAGCTGACTGTGTCCTCCCAGGCTGAAAATATTCACCCATGTGCACAAAATCTTTTTGCATAAGAATGGAGACGGGGGCCTGTGAACTCCTCTGACACTGACCTCTCTCCCAGGATGTGAATAGTATCACTCCCGGCGGCATTTCAGTCAAAGCCGAAAGCTTTTGGTGTAGCTTGCCTATAATCAGGTTGATTTAATGCATCCTACAAGTCCCGTCTTCCTCATCATGCAGCTCACTGCTGCTGCTCAGACGGCTCACTGTTCCCCCTTTCACTGCAGCCACACACACACACACACACACACACACACACACAGACAGTCCTGCCCCTAGGCCTCCTGCACTCCAAGAGGCCAGATGAGGCTTGAAACAAAACAAAAAAAAATTTTTCCCCCTTCCACTAAATCTGGGCTCTCATTAAAATCTGTTTGGTCCTCAATGAGGAGATGCTTCTTTGGAGCTCTGATGATTGCAATCTTGTCAGAGAATTTCTTTTTTTTTTTTTTTTCTTATTGACTATGTTTTATCAGTATGATCATTGAGATGAATCTTGAAAAAACCCAACTATATAAATATTGCACACATGCAAACAACCCTTCTGTGTTCAATAGATGGGACTTCAATGCAAATGCAAATTATAGCAGCTCATACACTTTAGGTTAAGGGATTAAAATACTGGCATTAAGCTATCTCTCTCTGTGTCAATATTTTATTTTAATTTCCTAGGGCTCTAAATAGAATTTTCTTTTTTCATTTTTAGTCATTCTGTTTTATTTTTTTATTAGCTATTTAAGCTTCTGAAAAGCCTTTATTTCAGAAGTGGAACATAAGTTACGGATAAACAAGACAACAATAAATAACATATAACCAAGGTTTTCTTCAAAAGCATTTAAAAGTTACAGTTTCACTATATAATCTATCTTCCACGCGCTCTTTTTTTTTTTTTTTTTTTTAAATTGAAGCGCTTCTTCTGATTGGATGATTGATTTACGCCATCCTAAGCCCCGCCTCCTTTAGAAGTTTATTCATTTGCTTTTAATTTCGGCTTAAAGACGGACTTTCTTTCCACGTGGTGCAGATTATTCATTATCTTCCTTTTTTTTTAGGTAGGGTTCAAAAGTTTCAGACCCGCCAAATAATAGTAATAATAAAAAAATAACAAAATGCAGATAATTAAATACATTTATTGTTAATTAGACTACGAAAACAAAATTAAAAAAGGAAATTAAAAATAATGTTTTTTCCACTAAAACTTATAATATTGAGAAGTTAGACGGAAAAATTATGCAAGATCGTGCATGGCGCTCATTCCTTTAGTTTTTAAACCGCGTCTTTGACGTCAGATTAAGCTGCAAATACAAAAAAATGGCTGAAGTTTAAATAATCCGTTTATTTATTAATTTTTTCTTCTTCAGACCATGAAAATATTTGCTACATTTTTGTTGTTTGTTCTAATTTTTTTATGTTGTCAAATAAAAAAAAAAAAAAAAGCTGCTTACATCGCCTTATTCGTCCTGGTGGTGAAT